GAGGCAGCTTTGTCTGCTTACAAGAGTGGTTTTCATGTTGAGGGGAAACTCAAAAAACAGCAGCAGCAGCAAAAAAAAAATTAATTATAGAACAATGTGGGGGGGGCGGGGGGGTATGCTTTTGGCATCAGTTTCCACCGGGGCGTCGTGCCTGCTGCCAGTGCCCGGCGTGAGTGCCGCCGTCCGCCTTGGGATCTCGCAGGAGAAGCGGAAGGACACAACACAGACAGCGGCATAAATACCACGTCGATGGTGGTGAATTACGGCTCTCGCACGGGAGCTGAACTGCTGCTAATGCTATGCTTTTGTTTGTAGTTTTTTTTTTTTGTGTGCATGTAATAAAGTGCTAAAAGTGGTACAAAGTGGACTCAGATCTGCAGATTTCACTGAGGGCCTTGAAGATGTTAACAAACTGGGGTGTGGTGATCTGATAATGAGAGAGACAGAGAGACAGCAAGAGTGTGAGAGAGAGAGAGAGCGAGAGAGAGAGAGCGCGAGTGCGATGGCGTGCTCACAAGAGCTTCAGCACGCTGTGTCTGAGGATGGGTTCTGCCCTCTGCTTATATCTGTGTCTATATTTAGCTCCTGAGTCACATTCAGCAGCCAGTAACGTGACTCTTACCCATAATCCCCTGCTCACCTGACACGCTCCCGCCCAAGGGACAGTGGGAAGAGCTTGCTTAAAGGTCACTGCCGGGGAGTTTGTGGTGTCGCTCTCACAGCTCTCCTCGTCGGGGAGGAGCTTAGCGAGCGCCCTGCAGCAATGCGTCAGGCGCTGTGTGACGGGGCCGCGGTGACTGTGCAGAATCACAGCGGGGCCCCATGGCGTTACAATCATGGCGGCTCCATGTCGCTCTCTGCAAGGTGATGCGCCCTGGGGCCAGCGATGTCCCACGTCCCGCACGAACCACTGCTGTCTTTGCTTGGACTTCAGCCCTCCCACATGCACCTCTTCTGAGCTGCGGTTTTTGTCACTAAGCGCATGTGGCTTTTTAAAGTTGGTTGCCAGGGTGACGGCGGCTAATATTTGCCGTCTGGCTTTTATCAGTTCGGTGGAGGTGCTGGGGTCATTACTGTATTTGGTTACTGAGGGCCGTCACCGAAGGGGACACTTGTGGAGCCTGCGAGTGGAGCGAGCAGCTCTGCGTACGCGCTTTGGGCAAGCCAATGCCATCGTCTGGCCCTAATCCCTCTCCTTTTGGTCATCCTGTATAATTAAACGCCCCCTTTGAGGAAGGAAGGCGGGAGGGGGGGGTTAATTAGAGAACGTAAAAGAGGACTTTTGTTAAAACTCCCCCGGGCACCATTTAAAAAATGCTACAAACGTAAACTGGTGCCATTGGGGGCCCATCAGTGGTACACTGCATCTCTGCCAGCAGCTCCGGGGTTGGAGGGGTGGGGGGGGGGGGGGGGGGGGGGGGGGGGGCATTGTATCAGCTGGCAATTAAGACAAAGAACGGAGGCGGAGAGTGGAAAAAGAGGCTCTTGTTAGAGCTGACATGTTAGCAGGTGATGGGACTGTGGCTTCAGCTATAGGGATTGAGTGTGTGGTGTATGGTGGGGGGGGGGGTAGCCATCACTGTTCTATTCTCTACCCGGGGGCATGATTCTGTGTCCATGCTCAGGTGCATTAGGGCTTTTGTCAGCCACTGCACTGGGCAGGCAAGCCGGTCAGACCCTCAGCCGGACGGCTGCTTTGTTATTAAAAGGTAAACGTAAGATTTCGGGAGCGGGGGTGTGGCGCTCCTCGCTTCCCACTTTCTGCAGCGTGCTGCCGTGGCAGTGCTCCCACCCCTGAGGTGAGCCCGTGCGCGGCCATCTGCCCGCTAGGACCTGCCAACAGGTCGTCTGAGCGAGCGGGCATTTCGGTCCAGGCCACTCCGGGCCTCAGGAGGGCCTCCTGTCATTCCGGCTGGAGGATCCCTGTGAGCTGTCAGCTGATCAGCCCTGGCGACATGGCCGCCATCGAGGGAGAGCCTCTCTCTGGCGGACGCGTTTCGATTCGTGTGGCAGGCTGGTGCGGATAGACGGGGCACGGAGCTGAGCGAGCCACCGGCGAGCAGGGCGCCCCCCCTCCCCCTCCCCCTCCCCCCCCGCCCCGGGTATCTGGGGCAGCAGTGTGGATTAGTCACTCTGACAGGCTCCACCATCTGTCTAAACGGGAGCGGGGCCTGGTGTCCAAGGCCGCCGGGCCGCATTTAACCCTCATTCCTCAGCGACCGCCGGAGAGCACGGGCCTCGGCTGCGGCCGATCCACCAGGTCGGGGGGGAAGGAACCATGAGATTTCGCCTGAGGATGTTGTTGTGAATGGTTCGATACTGACAGTCATCCGCACCCCCCGCTGCATGCTTACTGAGTCGGCTCAGGTCTGGTGCTTGACTCAGTTGTCCAGTGAGTTCACATGAGGTACTAGAATATGAGGCCTTTCGGGGGAAAGAGCCAGACTGTTTGTAGCCTTTTTGAAATAACCCTTGTCCTGCAGTCATGGTCACCACTGTTTCCATAACATAACTCCCTCCCCCAAGGTGCACTGGGCCAGGCTACGTGATTCCCGATTCACATCTGTAAGAGCGCGCTTCTGACGCAAAGAGAAGACATGTAATCAGTCTCAACAAAAGACTGTGTTTGTATGACCATGACCACCATTCTCAATGACTTTTCTGTAAACTATCAAAAATCGTGAATGAATAATTAAGCTGCTGTCAGGAAGTCCTTCCCTCTCGCAGTTAAGTCTCAATTGCTTAGAATGGAGGCGCTGACAGCTTTGTAATCTTTAAACACAGTCGCATTTTCAGCCTTAATCCCTTCAAGTTAGACCCTAATCCCTCCACCTTGATTCTTTGTCGACACCTAAAGGCGCAAATTGCCTGAAGGTCGCTTCTCGATAGGCTATGTGGCCTAACGGATTGGGGCAGGATCCCTGTCGTGGGGGGGGACGGACGACACGGGCCGACCCTGCTGCAGGAAAAGCCAAACCGCTGGTGAGCTTGGGAGCGAGAGGGGGCGCAAAGCGGGGGCGTGAGGTGGGGGGAGTTCCTCACAGGTGGGGAAGTGCGGTGCGGTTTAAGTGGCTGACTGAGCGCTTTTTTTTTTTCTGGCTTGGTGGCTTCTTGCCCTCAGAGGGGAGCTGTCTAAGCGTGACTCCCAAGAGGCCTGCCAATCGGGTTTCGGCGAGCTGTCCGCGCTCCGCTCGCTCGCTGGCAGCAGGCCTGCCGTCACTGCCGTGCCCTTTGGGGTCAGGATCACTTCCTGATCTGCATACGGGTCATTTGGAATTGTAGGGGAATCTCTTATTTCTTGTTTTCATTTTCGATGCTGGGGGAGGGGGGGGGGGGGGGGGCATTGGAGTGTTGTTATTGTGCCTGAAAGAACGTGTCAGACTGTGTCTAAAAGGACACCCAGCTTCAGACTTTGTATTGAAGTTTCTCCTTGTTCCTCTCCACCCCCAGGCTGACTATCGCTGAGGCCCCACATGGACGATGACGATGACGATGTGTTCCACACGGACCCGCTCACCTATCAGCCCCCGTTCAGGGATATAAAGTGTGAGAATCGGGGCACGCAGACGCCCGGCCCAGCCCTGGTGCAGGGCCTCAACATGCTGCCCTGTGGCGTGGGCCAAGAGCCACGCAGACTCTTCTACGGTAAGGAGGGGGGCACCAGTGCACACGGCCCTGCGTGGGTCAGCGCTAATCCCCACCCCCAAACTTCAGGTAGCTACAGAACCAATACCGTGCAGAGAGGGAACTACGCCAGAGCTCCTAGTCCATGAAGCATTTTGCTGTGGGGGCCCCATGACCACAAAAACAAGTGCTTACGTAACCCTTTTCCAGCACGAGGGAAACACCCCCTGGTGTTTTGGGGAAGAAAGTGTTCCAGAAGAGAGCAGGTTCGACCGCAGATGTCATGGTCTTTAAAATGACTCTGATTTCATGTTCTTTTTTGCACTTTCTTCCTCGTTCATCACCTTGCTCCCGAAAACTGAGCAGGGCTCTATTATCTGAGCGTCAACAGCCCGCGTCAGATCTAATAAAACCGGTTTGGGTTTTTTTTTTTTCCGTGTGTGACGTACAGATGCAGAGAGTAAACACTGAGAGCACACTGTGTGGGCACCCTGTTACCCAGCATTCCAAGGTGCGGGGGTCCACGTTGTACCCCTGTGCCAGTCTGGTACCTATTCGGGGTGAGAAATGCGGCACGTGATTTTCTGAACACACTCTTCCCCCCCACCCTCCCCCAACCAGGTAGTGCAGGCTTGCGGCTGCATTTCCCGGCACTTTCGGTGCCCGGCGGGCACCCGCCGCAGGAGGAGCGGCAGCCCGACGACCGCCCGCAACCGAGCGCCGAGGTCCGGATTGGCCAGAAGCTTCAGATGATTGGAGACCAGTTTCACCAAGACCAACTCCAGTTGGTAAGGAGCAAGACCCCCGAATGCCGGGGCAGAGCTTGATATAGGAGCGGACGGGGGTGCCATGCCTGGGCAAGTACCGTGGGCCTTGGCAGGCGGCGATGCGCCGCTGCACGGCAGTCAGGGGCGCAGTTGGGGCATGTCTGCAGCATGTCAGTCGCTTGCACATGCTGCGTGTTAGACTCTCACGGCCTGCAGGATTGTGGAGGTGTTCTGTGAATCACAGTCTGTATGCTTGGCAGCGGACGGCCTCTGGGCGAAAAGTTACTGCAAGGACACGTGTGTGTGTGTGTGTGTGTGTGTGTGTGTGTGTGTGTTTTTTTTTAAGGAAAAAAAGAAAGGGAAGAACATGTTGTAACCCAAAGCCTGGTGTTTGAGTGACTGCGGTTGGGGAGTCTCCAGCGAGTCCTGCCAGCTGCCGGGGGGGCCTCGACGGGCCGGGGCGCTGTGGGGTTAGGGGGGGGCGTGGCCTGCCATCCCTGAGGGGAGCGGGAGCGGCTCGCTGTGGGGGGGGGGAAGGAGACTCTCCGACCCAAACTCCCCTGACGGTCCAGAGACCGTCTCGTGGTTCTCGGCAAACAAAACCCCCCCCCTCAATATTTCTCCCTCGCAACCAGCCAGAAATAGGCCTCCTAAAAATATTTAGTGGGTCATACAAGCCGTTTTCTGGTGACTATTTTGGGCAGCGAATCTGCTGCTCCGATCTGCTGAGCGGCTGCTGCTCTGGGACCCCCGCTGCCTCGGGTTCGATTACCAGGGAGCACTTTTGGGAGGCCTCCTGACCCCGGGAGGGGGCGTCGGGAGGGGGATCCGTGTTTATCGATCCTGCACGTACAGCCTCGTGCTCATCTGCCTGGCGTGACACACTGCACTGACCCGGAGCCGCGGGGGTGTTTCCCAGACTCGAGACGGGTCCATCCTGACGGGAAGGCCGAGGGTAGATAAGCACATCCACGCGGATGGCTGTCCTCAGCTGTGGTTCCACACCCCCCCCGAGACAGCGAGCACCATCTTATCCCCGCTTTGCGATCATTATCGGCCATCTTGTTGCTGGCAAGGTGCTGTGCACGGCTGCCTGTGGACAATGAGCCCTCAGGAGAGCCCAGCGGGACAGCAGCCGGCCGGTGCGGGCCGCGGCACGGGGACCTTGTCTTCTCATCCCTGCGGTTTCCGGCAGTACGGTGCCCCCCTCCCGTATCGCTCTGGGAATCCTGAGAGGAGTTGTTCCTGGTCGCTGCTGGGGGGAGCATCCCCTGCCACGGTGTGGCCCTGACCTCCTCCATGACTGTGAAGATTGCCACTGTCTCCCCCCCCCATGTTAGTGGGAGTTTGTCTGTCCTGGGGGAGAGATCAGCAGAGGTTTGGTGTGGGCTTATAGGAATGCACACTGTCTCAGTTCAGACAGCAGTGCTGGGGTGACGGAGTGGGGGGGGGGTTCTGCTAGGCCCAGCCTGGGTGACAGTTATGGGACATCAGCCGCGATGTGCAGGGAGGAAGCTCAGAGCGAGTGGAGTCAGGTTACAGTTTATCAGGGCATGAAACATAACCCCCCCCCCCCCCCCCCCCCCCGCTCTGGGTGGGGTGGGGGGGGGGTGGGGGGGGGGGGGGGGGGGGGGGGCATTGGAGTGTTGTTATTGTGCC